AACTGCACGAAGGACTGGAAAAATATCACATTGGTTCTGTCAGTATAAGCTAGGATGTCCTCCACATGTTCCACTGGAAAAAAAAAAAAATAAAACACAAACTGACACTCACCAGAGGCCAGGCAATCCCGACTGGAGACACAGAATAAATGCCCCAGCCAGAGGAAGAGCTCCAGCCAGGAGTGAACGTTGACGCTAAAAAAAACTATAGGAAATCATAGTTTAATAGCTCTAGGAGCACTGGAAAAAAAAGAAAGTTTGTCTGAAGAAGACTTTTCATCCTTTTACATCTTGCTGCATCCTTTGATTAAAGATCAGTTTTGACACAATGGAGTCAATGTGCATTTGCTCCAAAACCAAGGGATATGCTCTGGAAACATTTCTCAAGTGGAAGCGCTGTAAGACTCTGCCCATTTCCTCCCACATCCTCCTCCCAGTGGCCATGCAATGATGATAATAATTGTCACAGAGTAGCTGTATTTATCAAAACTCCATAGTCTGGAAGGAGAAGCATTCCTTCCTACATTGTATCTGGCAACTCAGCCTGCAGAAAGAGGAACTTGTAGGTATCAGCAGTTTTTCTTACTTTAAGTCTGCATGGTTGTGCTGATGAGTATTTTAGCAACCTCATTTGCACACACATCTTTCTGCCTAATTCTGAATCACCATCCTAAATGGTTTGTGTCAGAAAGGACCTTAAAGACCATCCAGCTTCAATCCCCCCACCACAGGTGGCACTGCCACCCCTAGATCAGGTTGCTCAGGGCCCTTGAATATGCATGCAGTCATAGACTTTACACAATCACAAACTGGTTTGGGTTGGAAGGAACCTTAAAGACCATCAGAGTTCTATGCCTAAACCACATTTCTCCAAGCTCTGTCCAGCCTGGCCTTGAACGCTTCCAGGGATGGGACACATCTTCTCTGCACAACTTGTTTCAGTGCCTCACCAGCCACACAGTAAAGAGTTTTTCCTAATATCTAATCTAAACCTACTCTCTTCCAGTTTGAGTCCATTCCCTTTTGTCCTATCACTACTTGTGCTTCCAAAAATATCCGTCTTTCTTGTAGGTTCCTTTCAGGTACTAGAAGGAAAGTATGTACCTACAGAGGATGAACTTAGCACTCAAACACCATGGATATGACTAGAACATCCTATCTCACTAATGGAAATAGAAGACCCTGCAGCAGCACCAGCGAGTTACAAGGCTAATGCCCTAATCCAAGTAACACCATGCAGGGAAGGTCCTCGAGTACACACCAGCCGTTGTTTGAATGCATGTAAACAGGCAATTAGCTGAAAAGCAGCACTTCCCAAGCATGGCTAAAATACAAATGGACTCATCAGGATGAGCTGGCCCCTGGCACCTTGTGTGCACATCCATACAGATATCCCACTGCACAACCTGCCCTAGCTCTCTGTACGGCTGCTTTGATCATCTAATCAAGATGATGATGAACTATATACAAACAGAGGTGTGGCTATCATCTCAAAGTTCATCTAGAATTTAAGTTTTATTTAGACAGCTTAGATCCCAGCATCAGTCCCAAGTGTCACTGGCAGAGTACTCAACACCAGCCTTCCACAGACTATGCTGAGTCAATTCCTATTGATACTGGACCCGTGGATTTTCTGACTAGTCTGCACACACCTGAGACCATCCTCACCTGGGACACAATACTCAGCCCTGGCACACTGGTCTTGTTCTCCCTCCTCAGCTAAGCAGGTTGGACATTACAAGGAAGTTCTTCACAGAACAGGTGACTGGGCATTGGAACGGGCTGCCTAAGGAGGTGGTGGAGTCAACCATCCCTGGAGGTGTTTAAGAAAAGACTGGATGTGGCACTTAGTGCCATGGCATCATTTGACAAGATGGTGTTAGGTCACAGGTCGGACTTGATGATCTCAAAGGTCTTTTCCAACCTAGCTGGTTTTGTAATTCTGTAACAAAGACAGAATGAGAATGGAAAGGACAAATTTCTTCATCAACAAAATGGTCCATCATTTGTGATATGCAGTTAACAGATGGTGTTCAAATTAACATTCATATCCTTCAAGTGTCTTATCAAACAAGCCTAAACAGCATCTTGAAATTTCCATTTAAATTTTCTATGAGCTTGCAAGAAGTATCACAGACAGATATTACTGCTGTCAACTAAAGCTGTTACTGCCTTTAATGAGGGACTGACTATATTATGACTTGAACTAAAGCAGTCCAGATCCTGCTGCTCAAGGCCACTGGGTCACCTGCACAGACTCCACTTGGAAGATGGAGCACCAAATGCACCCTTCCAAAATGCAGAGCCAGATGGTGAGCATCAAAACCTTACAAACACTCTACAATTCAGATTCAAGGAGACAAATTCCTCATTCCACCTCACTCCAGTGTCAGCCCCTGACACTGGATCCCCTCAGATTTCTGTCCCAGCAGCACCCAAGCCTGAAGAACCACAGGGCACACAAAGGTCTGCTGGCAGAGCACTCCATGCCTTTCAAACGATAGTTTGAGTTTTGACTGGGGAAAATAATGAAACATGGGACCTTGAAATGCCGTAACACAATTACATGTCTTTGAGAATTCAGATGTATTATGAGCCTACCAGGGACCACCAGCTCTGGGCCCTCTCTCCTTTCATCTCAACCACCCACATGGCCCCATGCATCTTCCCAGATGCCTTCCAAAACCTGGCAGGTTCGGAAGGCTCTGGATCAAAAGGGAAGCCAAATTCAAAGTCATACGTCTTCACAGAGACTGTCTTGTCAACAGCTTTCCTAATTACTATTTCCTAAATTACTAATTCCTAAATCCTAATGTATACCCTGACTGGAAAACTGCCACTGAGCAGCTGTGGCAGCCTTGCAAGGAAACAACCAAAAACCAGTATGTTTTAAAATACTGTATTTACGGACACTAAATCCAACAGAGAAAATTACTACAAAAATCATCTGATGTGATATATATGTTCCAATATGGGAAAAATTGCTGGATCTGAAAATTCAGTTCAATCTGAAAAAGTTATATGGAATCAGCACAAAAATGCTACTTCTCTTCGTACAACTCACCAGCATTGGGTCTATAACCTCTGGATGACTATGCTAAGCAGCACAGGTCCTTACAAGACTCAGCAGCAGTTTTCTTCTGTTGGAAAAAACATTCCTCTGTTTTAACCAGTTACTAAGCCACAGGAAAATTCTGCTCTTTTATTTTGGCAGCTACACTGCAACACCATGCTCACTCAGCAAGAGCATCCTCCAAGTCAGGGATACCTCACTGAAAGCCTGAAATCCACCTCACCAAAATACTTGGATTTGATTAAACCAGCCAGTGAAAGCAGTCCACTCCCCTCATTAAGTGGTATTGGTTCACATGCCCAACATTCTTCTTCTTAACTCAAGTTCTAATTTGATTTGATTTGATGGAATCCCCAGCCAGCCTTTGTTGATCTTCTGGACCCTTTTCCCATCAGTACTCTATACTCCTATCCCTTCCACACCACCCCAAATTTAAGGAACAGGTAGCACACTACTGTTAATACCTGATACCTGGAAGTCCTCATGAACATCATCTGGCTCTTACCATTTTCTACTGTTAATTGCAGCAATTTATTCTAAATAGTTTCCGCCAGTTTTGACAGTTTGACATCTCTGTTATAGAAATTCCCAGCACAAGAATATCCCTATTTCCCTCCATAGTAAACACAAGAAATCCCTTTGAACTATAGTTTCATCTTCCACAAGCTTACTCTTTTAAAAAGAGATTATTTTCTATCTTAAACAATTTGTCCCTCTTTTTAAAATCCTCTTAGTTCACATCTAACTTGCAGCTGTTCATTCTTTTCTATTTACTCCCTTCAGAAAGGATTTCCAATTCTGTAAATCAAGACCTCTTTCAAAACCTACCAGGCATCTGTAGGTGCTTTTAAGATGTGTGTTTGTTTCATTTTTTTATTGTTGTTTTAATTTAACAACTCATATGAATCAGGACCAACACCACAGTCTCTATATGGAAGATGACGTTCCATGAGTGGTCAAACAAGGAAAACCTGACTTAAAATATGTATTACATGAAGTCAAATAGCACCCAGCAGTTACAAAAGAAGAACGAGACAAGTGTTAAGCTAAGAAACGCTATGAGAAATGTTATAGATCCTAGTCATAGAAATACTGATATCCAGTCAGATTCTGAGGAAAAAATGTTTTTTCCCCAAGACACCTTCTTATAAGGCAGCATGCTCACATCTGGGTTGCCTGACCAAGAAAGCAGTTAGGTACCCCTGGAGCTCATGAATTAACTCATGCGGCTGCAAATGCCACAATTCAGCATTAATTTAACAGGCACGTTGATAAATATGATTTTACCACAAGCATTAATTAATTGAAGTGTACTCTATCTTCCAAATCCGTGGAAAAAAAGAACAGCCGGAGCTTGTCCTCGGGGCTTTTGTCTTTGCCAAATGGGAAACCAACAGGATGGAGCGAGGGCACTCCGGTGCTTTATCCCGGCCATTCCCCACCCGCCCTCGACCTCTGCAAGCAGCGGATTATATAAACACCACGGAAAACACCTCCTGCACCTCTGAGAGGAGGACGCGGGCATCGGACCCTCCGGGGGCCACCGAGTCACCCGGAGCCCCGCGAGGATCACACCCGCACAAACACAGCATCGCAGCGGCGCGAAGCCGAGCATTCCGGGCGGGGATCAGACCCTCGGGAGAAGACATCGGGACAGGCCAGGGGAGCGAGCACCGTCCCGGGGCCGCCCCGGGACTGCAGGACTACCTCCCCGCCCCTGCATCACCCCCCTAGGCACTGACACCTCCCCGAACCCGCGGAAACTTTCCCAGAGCAGCACCCACGTCCCGGTTCCCTCCGGGCGCCGCTTCCCGCCGCGGCCCTCCCGCCGCCCCGCAGGGCGCCGGCGCGGCCGGGCCTACGCGCGGCCGGCTGGGCGGCGGCGGCGGGAGGGCCTCCGTCCAGCTCGGCGGCGGAGGGCGCTCACCTGGGCGCACGGTCTTGAGGCGTACGGGCTCCCTGAAGTGTCGCACCACAGCTAGCGTGTCGCGGTGGGTGAGGCCGCTCACCGGGGTACCGTTCACCTCCAGCAGCACGTCCCCCGGCGCCGGCGCCTTGCCCGAGAGCAGCGCGGGGCCCGGCGCGCCCTCGCCGCCCGCGGGCAGGCGGCCCGCCAGGTACGGGAACTCGCCGCGCTCGGCGCCGCCGCGCAGCAGATCGGGGTCGGGGCCCGCTGGGCCACCCCAGGACACCACGCACTCCTGCACCTTGCTCAGCCAGTGCCGCTTCTTCCGCAGCGTCTTGGACATGCCGCAACACGGGGCGCCGCTACCCACCCCGCGCTGCCAGCGCTGCCGCTGCTCCCGCCCCGGCTGCCGCCCGACTGCCGCCCCGCCGCGCCGCCCCAGCCCCGCCTCGCCGGTCCCACCCCTCCAGGCCCCGCCTTTCCCGTCTCCGCCGCGCCCCGCCTGCCTCGCTGGCCACGCCCCTGCCGCGTCCTGGACACGCCCCTGGTGCGGAGCTGCCGGTCAGGGGCAGCGCGGCTGCTGGGCCGGGCCGATCTGGGGCCTGCGGGGGGCTTGGTAAAAAAAACAAGAAACAAGTCACGAAACTGCTATTCTGTAAAGAAAGTGCTGTTTTCTTTAACGGTATGTTTCTATATCAACTTAAAAGCCAAAACACGCCGCCTAATCCTTGCAAATTTCATGAGGCCAGTAAACTGGCCAGGTTCGTTTTACATCACATGAACCATAATCCTCTTCTGGAGCTGCAGGTCTACCTGCCAGTTTCATTGTACTCTGAGAAGGAAAAGAGGGTTACCGAATGTATTTTCTCTGCATCACTTGCCGATCCCCATCTCCTCTTCAGCACGTGGTGTGTGGATGCTCTGGCACATAGACTAATCCAGATGAGTGGCGCTGCTCTCAGATAATGACAACAGCCTGTGGGGCTCCTTGGAGCCCTGGCCCGGCATCCCCACTGTCACCTCTGCTGGGCTAAACACTGCTGGAGGTTGGGGCAGCCCCCCTAGGTAACAGGGTGGTTTTGGGATAGCTCACCTCACACAGCACATCTCACCCCGTGGGACCTGCTCTACTGTTCTCCATGAGTGTACAGGCTGCTTGGGATCTGGCTGACAGTTTTAGTCCATTTGTCCTGCTCTCATTCTTTGTTCCAGACTACTCATCACAGATCCCAGACACATGAAGCGCCTTGGATACGATCAGAAGGGGACATGCCCTGCACCCCCACCAGCGCTGACCTGGCAAGGGCTGAGGAATCATTAATGTCTGGCCTCTCAGTGAGCTAAAAGGGGCCATCAAAGAAACAGCAGAGCTCCAGCATCCCTGGTTCATTATCCGTCACACTGTGGCAGCTGGCATTCCACTGTCCTGTTGGCATCGGCACACGTAGAATGCCACAAGAAAAGGGTGCTAAGCTCTGCCACATCAGAATGACAGACATAAAGTACTTCAAGGCAGCACAGTTTTTGGTAGGCAAGGAAGCAAAGTTTGCTTATCACACTGTCAAAGTTCAAAGGCAATCAAAACAGCAAAAACATGTCAAACTTCTGTTTAATTATAGCATGAAGACACACTTTCTCAGAGTGGTTAGAAAAGGAATTGTGGTGTTGTATTTGGACTCCTCTGAAGTCCTTTTCCTCGTGCCCAGTGCTTGCCATGCAAGTCTTGGTGGGATGTATAAGTCAGCAGTCCAGTGCTTACAGGGAAGACACTCCCCACAGAGGCAAAATACTTACACAACATGCACAAAAACAAAATAAGAACATATTCATCCTCAGCAAGGATGTCATGAAAGCCAGTTGCACTGGTACTGAATAGGCATTTGTTTATGCAGAAGGGTGCTATTTCCTATTTTCCTAGTGACTGGGCACACAGGAGCTCTGACTGTCTCACAACACCGCTACCTGACCACAATGTTGTTACAGCTTTTGGGAGAACCCACAAGTGATGGTTAACTCCACTGCATTAACTGAAAACAAAAACAGTTGCCAGGAAGCAGCAGTGGGCATAGTGTTCTTCCCTAACAGAGCCCTCATCTCAAACATAGGGTAACAAATTATTCAGGAAGCTCCATGCCTCTGAGGAAACACAAACAAATCACAGTTCAATAAGAGTGGTTCAAAGCCAGGCACTTGCTGTTCTGTCGACAGACAGACAGGACTGTCTGTTTGAAAATTGTGTGACCCTAAGATACATTTATATGAAGGCAAACTTTTGAACATGTCATAATTTAACTTGTACAGGAGCAGAAGCTGCCATGGAGCCAGACCTCACTAGGGAATTTTGTAAAGCCTCAAGAGAAGTCTTTGTCACCCTGGGCTGACTAATCCCTAGTGTCTGTGCTCCTTACTTGGGAATGGAGAATGTATCAATACAGCAGGCTGCAGATGGGGATCAATGCATGCTTCAGCAATGCAAAGCTGCACCATAAATCTGCCTGTATTTCATTAACTCATCAGCACAGCAGGCAGATGAGAGGCAGTACCAGTAGGAATAGCATCCACATTGTGGTATGTCCTTCTTTGCTCCTCTTTCACAAATAAATTACCATTCTTGAGCCATGCAGAACTACTGATCATTGCATACGATAGAATCAGAGAATCATAGAATATGATCATCAAGTACAACTCCTGGCCCTGCACAGGACAATCCCAAAATCCTACCATGTGCCTAAGAGTGTTGTCCAAACACTCCTTGAGCTCTGGCAGCCTTGGGGCCATGACAGCTGTCCTGCCCTGGGAAGCCTTTTCAGTGCCCAACCACCCTCTGGAGAAAAGAACCATTTCCCAATATTCAGGTTAAACTTCCTCTGACAGAGCTCCATGTTGTTCCTTCAGTACTATCACTGGTCATCAGAGAGCAGAGATCAGTGTTGAACGTCTCCTCAAAATGCTGTGAAGAGCAAGAGTGTTACGCTGGGAATTTTAGATGTTTCAACCAAGATGTTACAGTAAATCAGACAGTAAATACAGATACTCTGTATGCTTCAATTTTCCAGCTGCATATTCAACACCATTTTGCACCTGAAACATCACAAATCCTTTCAAACTAACACTCGTGAAATAAAAGACACCTCAATTGAAGGAAACTCTGTAACCCTGCAACAGACAATATGGGAAAAAACTGACACAAAATGGTTTGTTTGTTTGTTTGACACAAACAACTGCCAACAGGTTAAAAGCTTGGGCAAGGGATGAGTCTGCTCCTGACCTGTGTTGCACTGCTTTGCACAATGACAGCAGTGTTCAGTTATCCTCAAGCTGGCCAAAAAAGAAAAAAAAAGAAGAAAAAAAAGGAGGGGGAAGAGAACAACAAACAAGGCACTTCTGAAACAGGGAGAATAATTTCCGAGAGCAGGTGTCATGCAGGGATGTGCAGGACATTCAGTAATATACTCTCAAGCACTTTTCATCTTTGCTGTTTTCTCTGTGCCTCACCCACAGGAGTCAAAACTTCCAGAATAAATTTTAAAAAGTAACTACAGAGATTGCTCCACATGTGCCTGCTCCAAGTACGGTTGGATGCTGAGGTAGATTTAATGAGATGAACTAAGAAGACTTGTCAATGTGAATAAAGAAACAGCCTATGCAAATACCCCTCCGCTACTCTCTCTGGGATGCAGATGATGTGATCAAGCACCACCGACACCAATGAATGCAAAGAGGGGATAAAGGCCCACTCAAAAACTGAGCGGAGAGTCACGAGGTTTTACAGCACTACAGCATGGGTTTGAAATCTACATATTGGCTTTAGAGTCTAAATGTAGTAATGGAGTGTTTAAGTCTAGATCTATAGCTTAATGCTTTGAAGAATAAACAAGGTTGGAGAAAAGCTGTAAAATGCATGGCTAAGAAAGGCAAGCAGGACTGAGGTATTTGGGAGGCAAGGACCCAGTGTGACAGGACCAGGGGACCGTTGACAGAGAGGTCAGGGCCACTGCTACTGAGTTACAGAATCACAGATCACAGAATGGGTTAGGTTGGAATGGAATGGAAGGGACCACAGTGGGTCATATGGTCCTACCTCTCTGCTTCATCAGGGTCACATGGCACAGGATTGTGTACAGACCATTCATCGTCTCCAGTGAGAGAGACTCCACACCCTCTCTGGGCAGTCTGTTCCGGTGCTGCATCACACACATATTAAGAAGTTCTTCATATTCAGGTGGAACTTCCTGTGCATCGGTTTTCTGACCATTGCCTCTTGTCCTGTTTTTGGGCACCACCAAGCAGAGCCTTCTTGGCAGCCCTTCTTTAAACACTTACAGACATGGATGAGGTCCTCTCTTTGTCACCCCTTCTTGAAGAGGAAGAGGCCCAGATCCCTCAACCTTTCCTCATAAGAGAGATGCTCCAGTTTCTTGATCAACTTTGTAGCTCTAAATTTAATGACTGAGAATGGTCTGTGCTGGGATAAAACCCTGGCTAATGGGTGTCACAGGCCAACTCTCCTCTGCATGTGGGACTGACTGGAAAAGTATGCTATTCATCCATTTGTTAGGAGTGGCAGAAGCTGTTGGTTTGGTGATGTTTTACCATTTTTACCATCTGTTCAGCCATTTCTCCCCACTTGGGCATGTTTCTGATCATCGCCCACTAAAATCCTTTGCTTGACCTTCCCCTTGCTGTCAGCCTCCTTCACCAGCAGTGAGTTAGCATCTGTAAGCGGTTCATCTCTGTCAGTGGTTTTACATCTTTAATAGGATCTGAAATATCTGTAGCAGCCTTGTCAAGTTTTATAACCCTATTCACAAGGATTTGGGATAGCTGGCATGGTCCAAAATCCTGTTCCAGTCTCTGTCTCTTAAAAGTAATCCCCAGCTCCTCTCTGATTCCTGCTCCTTTTCACCAGTCACTTTCTCTCTGTTCACTGAGTATCAGCTGCTTGAGCAGCTGGGGAAACAAGGAGGACCAGTCAAAGCTCATAGAGCAACACTTGCAGTCCTCTGTGTCAGTGCACAAACTTCTCTGGAGAATGCAAAAGGAAAATCTAATTTCTTGAGAGTTGATGCCCACTCCTGTCAGTCATCGCCTCCCAGCCTGAGTCCTGCACATGAGGTCTGAGCTTGTCTTTCATAGATACCTTGAAATATCTGAGTGAACTGGAACCAGTGACAGTGGACTGAGGCATTGTCCTGCCCTCTTCAGTTCCACCAGGCCTACAGACAGAGGAGAGGGGGTCAGAGCTGCAATAACACACTAACAATTCTCTGGATTTCTAGAAAAGAGGATCAAGGAGGAGCAGTGGAATGTTAGGAAGTGAAACCAAGTCTCCTTCCGCCCTGC